TTTGAATCCGACTCCTTACGAATTTATTCAAAAAAAAATTCTTGTTTTTATTTTGAAATTGAATACTGTGTTTAAAAATATTCAGTTTGGTTAACTAAAAAATTAAATTAATTTAGTTTGTCATATGAAATAATTGAGTTCTTGCTATTTACCATTTAAAAGAATACTAAATGAAATTACATTTTAAATATCAAATTATTTTAATTAATTCATGAAAAATTTTATTATTTCAATTAATTTAATTAAAATTTTATTATTTTGGTTAATTCAGTAAACCAAAATTGTTTTACCTTAACCAAATGGAAACTGAAGGGAAATTATAATTAAGTTCAGTTTTAACCAAATTCAACCAAACAAAAAAAATTCAATTCGGTTCAAAATGGTGGTTAAAAACTAAACTTAAACCGAAATACGCCTTCGCTGAGGCTCAACCGGAGTTGGGTCTGAATCATTGGCCTGTATACATCAAGAGAATCCGAGGATTGGCTGATTAAAGTATTTTCAAGAAATAAAAATTCCATCCATCTCGAGCATAACAACAAATAGCAGAGTCTAAACTTCATTTAAATAAACTCTATTTTGGATATTAGATTCTCAGAGCAACTAGTTGTCTTGTTACAAGACCCAAAAAGCATGTAAAAGCAACCACAAAGATGTACACTGTGTATCCTGAAATTGGGCACAACAAGTGCCTTGGAAAACCTGATAACAAGTGGAGAAAATTCAGCAACAAAATCAATCTGAGTTTGGTTTATTTCATTTGCTCTTTTTGTCATCCTTCGGAAGTTGTACGCCCATGAGACCAAGCAGATTGGAAGCGGGACCAGGAAGTCCTTCTTGGGAAGAAATGGAATCAAGCAGGCTTTTAACAAGGTTAAAATCCACATTCACTGGACTGAAATCTTCATCAGTGTCCTCCTTGGCACTTGAGGTTCCCTGCATGTATATTATACACTCAGAAAAAGGTATAAACAGAAACAGAAGGCTATCTGGTTATGACAACATTAAGAAAGCAAATGCAGAATCCAATATAAGGAATTCAGCAGACAGAACTAGTTGGTCTTTTCACAATTCAACCAATCAACAGACAACAAAGAAAAAAAAAACTCACTGAAGAAACTGCAGCATTACATTCCATATTTACATGCTGTGCGGTTCAAATTACTAAATATTTAATATCATATTAAATTGAGCACAAGCATTTCAAAAGACTGAATATGAAAGCGATACCTCATTCTTGTTTGAAGAATGTTCAGTTGCAGTGATGAAACTTTTCCTGAGGGAAGTGTTCTTCAGCTCCTCATTCATAGCATCAGAATAAGACGGCATGAAAATATCCTCTCCATCTTCATCATGATCAGAAATATCACCTTCATCCTCAAAGTCATCTGTGAGTTTCACTAATATTAATTTTCAAGTTGTAACAACCTTAAAAAATTACAAAGACAAGACTAGAGGCAGGAATATTGTATTTCATCAATTGCACAGTAACATTACTGCATTAGAACTTGGTAGAATTCATATTGGAGAAGTGTGGATTTAGGGCATTAGGACTGATAATCCCACAACACTGATCCAAGCTGTCTCCTACCAGAGTATAACAAGACAATCCAGTGGAACCAACACTCAACTAGCCACCGAAACCTTAATCAACTTCACCATGATATTTCTATGACAAAAATAAAGTTCCCTCTCAACATTTTGCAGATGATCTATTACCCAAACACACTTTTTGAGTAAAATATAGGAGCCAGTAGCAAGAAGAATAGAAGCATATATGAAACACAATGGAAAAGGAAATATATTAAAACAGGAAAAGAAAGCAGACAACTGGATTATCCTTATTCATATGACTGAAACAAAAAGCTTTACTCATAATAGGAATTCATGGATAATAACAATGTTTAACAAGGAGAATGAGAAAACAAATTTCCTTCTGGGTCTTGTTTGTGCCATAGTCTTTTAAAAGCTATTCTGTGCATTTGCCATACCATTAACATCAACTGACTTAGCAATGGTAGCAAAATTAAAATTGTATGCAAAGTTATCAGAAGCTTTCCACCTTGAGTGCATTGTGAGAAAAAGAAGAAGTAGAAAACAAAGATTTCCTTGTTTAGTTGGTTTAGCGTTAAACACTTACGAGCCAACTAGGTTGTGGTACTTACCATAGTCCATTTCTGAGGATGATCCTTCATCATCGTCTACATTGCTAGCCCTCTCACGACCTTGACACTCCATCTTTTCCAGATCATTCATAAAAGATTCAAGATCATGGCCTATATTGTCTTCAACACTCCTTTAAGAGAGAGAGAGAGAGAGACTATGTCAGGCATTCTGAGTTCAAATTTTACAAATAGCGGAAGAATAATCCCTACATCACATATAGCTCACTAGTTGCTACTATTAAATAATTCATTCAAAACCTGTTATATCCATCACATACACCAACAAACTCACAACTCTTAATAAAGGAAAAAATGGGAATTGTGGAGCAATACTTAGTCATGGGCTCATGGCTATAGCGTTTTAATTGCTGCAATTTGCTAAGTTGATCAATAAATAGTTAAATACAATAAAACTATGAATAAATTCAAAGATGTTGAAGACTTGGTGGTGATTTCGAACTGCACGTCTGCACCTATATGAATTTATGCAAAATAAATGTGTACACATTTATACATGCATTTTAATTACTGTATGTTTCTAGACACTAATATGGTTTTACCTTGAATTTATTTTCACTATACATGGATCCACCATACGTGGATCTATAAGGTTGGTAATCAAACCTCTATTAATTGTATTTATTTTCATCCTGATTCTTGGCGATGCATTCTGCACCTCCAATGCCAAAACCCCATAACACATTGTTCTCTGCCAATTCAATCGACCTGTATGCAGTATGCTTGTGCCAGACACTAATTATTGCCTCTTGATTTGACCTATTTTATGGGTGGGGAGGAGGAAGATGTGTTGTGGCAGTAAAAAATTGCTTAAGCTGCTTCTTTATCTACTTTGCCTAGAATGAACTATTCAGCTGTCTTAGCTTCAAATAAGATAAGGTAAACAGTGTGTTTATCAGTTGGTAGGTCAAGTAAAGGGCAGAGAAGGCACTACACAGTCCAACCTATGTCCAAATCTCTAAGCATCTCTCATAAAAGAATCAAATGAGCAGCTACTTTCTGGCTAGATGAAATGGATTTAAGGTCTAGATACCTGCTTCCAGGAACTTCTGCCCCTTCAAAGCTTGACGCCTTACGAATAAAAGCCTGCATTGATTTTGCTAGATCCCCAAGATCAAAATTTTCAGCCTTTGAGCTGGATGATGGACCAGTATCATCATGGTCCTTAGACTTCTTCTTCTCCATTTTACGTCTAGACTCATAAAGTTCCAACTCCTTTTGCCTCTCCTGAAGAGCAGAATTCAACTCTTCCTCTCCACCATAAAGCCAAGAATCATCATCAGAAGGAGGAACCTCCTGATTCTTGAAGTCATCAGCAGAATGGGGTAAAGAGAGAATCTCATCTATGCGCCTCACTGGAGAATTCAACATCTCACTGCAGTAATTGCAACAGGATCAGCGATACAATCATAACCACAGAAAGAAATCAGTTAAATACGAGCATTAGATGATATAAAATCATCACATAACATCAAACTGAAGTACTAGTAATGTTCTGGTAAATTTTAAAATGCCAATATATTGCAAAAGATCGTATCAATCCAAAAACCAAACAAATACCTGGTCCTATGAAACAAGGAGCTGTTCCTGTAATACTCCTCTGCATTCTCCATCAACCTCTTGTACTCTTTGGACCCTGGAATCAACCCCTGAAAATACCCACTACTCTCCAAACTCTCCTTGTACTTACTCCATGTGCTCCCCTTCCCTTCCGTCCCCTCTTTCTTCCTCTGTTGATACATCATTTCAAACCCGCATGCGATTTTCATACCCAACTCCGCCTCCACATAAACCCCCGCCTCACTCCTAGTCGGCATGGGGTAACACTTGGGGGCCTGAAACTTCTGCTGCACCAGCTGCGCGTACATTGCCCTCGACATCTTCACACCCACGGAAACCAGCTCCTCTTCTCTTCCTCTGCTCAAAAACCTCTCCATCTTCGCAGCGTACTTCATTGTATCAATATCTCGATCATAGAACCCCTCAACAGCAAGAGAAATCAAACACGGCTCGTGCTTCAGCACCTGGGCGACAGACACAGGAACCCTAACCCTAACCTGGTGCGTGTTCTTCCTTGCTCTCTCTGGATAATCCGCAATTCGGTTTTTAATGGCCGACTGCACCGCCTCCGAAGCTAGAGATTCTTTCTCGTGGTCTATTACAAATTTGAGGGATTCAATGAGAGTGGGATTGGGGAGAGAACGTTTGGGGATGATATGGAGATTGCCACGGCGGATGAACACCCGGTTCTGCGCATTTTCGGGATTAACCCAGCGAGGGAGGTGGAATGCGGCCTCGATGAGAAGGAATTCACCATCGGAGTCATGGACGCGGATAGAGACGGAAGGGAATGATTGGGAGATATGAAAGAGGAGGAAGACAGTGAACCACTCGTCCTCAAGATTGTCACCGAAACGGAGACGGCCGTGTAGGTGGGGAAGGGGAGTGAGAGAAATGGAGAGATTGAATGGCTCGTGCTGCCATATGTAAGAGGAAGTAAAGGGAGCTATGGAGTGGAGAATTTGGAAGTGGAGGGACTGGAGGTCAGCTGGAGACGGGGAGGAGTCAGGGAAGATTGAGAAGAAGACTGTGTCATCGGAGAGACGAGAGGAGTTACGGGAGAAAGGGTCCGACTGGAAGTAAGGCGGAATTTCCATAACGCGGCGGATTGCGCGGTGGTGCAGCTGAAACTTCTACCGAATGGCCCAAAGGGACTTCCAGCGAAGACGAGAAGAAAGGAAATGTTTGAGCATTCACAGAGGCGGCTCTTTCCCCTTCTTTTTTTTTTTTTTTTTTTTTCAAAGGAAGAATACAAACAAACAATCTACGGCCCATATCAATCGAAAATGCTTGGCCCATATTCTTTTTTCTTCTTTGGATTGGGTTGAGCCTTTAACACCCAATTCACTCAACCCAATCCAACTCATTATCATCTCGGATCCGAATTGTAGAATGTAGATTTCGGTAGGGTGAAACCATTTAAAAAAAAAAAAAAAAAAGTCGAGCTTGATTTTCCTTTTGGAATACTATGAAAATAGTTTGAGAAACATTTCATATGTTTGGAACTGTCTTAAAGCAGGTTTACTTACTGTGGCAAGAGTGTTTCTTATTATTATTATTATTATTATTATTATTTTGGAATACAAAATGTGAGCTAATTGCATTTTATTTTTTTAATCACTCCACCTATATATATGTTGTACAATATGAAATTAGTATTTTTTATTTTCACTAAAATAAGATTCATATTGAATCACAAATTGTTGACATTTTATTAAAAAAAATTACTATTAAATTAATTAAGTCGTTAGTATATGGTATAAAAATATTGTCTAAGTAGATTTATATAAAATAATAAAATGAGATTAGCCCTCAAACTTAAAACGTAGTAAGAAATTAGTCCTCTAACTACAAACAGTTGTAAATTAGCCATCAAATTTCACATATTACTAAAACCAACCCAAATTTAACTTATAAAGTCATCAACTCACCATTCATTCCATTGATAATGTCACATCTTTTTCTTTTTGAAAATTTTGGACGATAGTCATGGTGCAGTTTATTTAATTGAAACTCACATGAGAAAAGGAGGAAGAGAGAGAATGAGGGTTAGAATCTTAACTATACAGTTAAGGAAATACTTTTTTAGTTTTTTCTAATAATTTAGCTAATTACTATAGAGATCTTTCTCAATATCACATCTTTTTTTTTTTCTTTTATGCCATCAATTACTTGGCCATTTTATGGCATACCAAAGGGTGTTTTGTATCACAATTTGACATTAGTAATAAGTAGTTTCATCTAATTCAATAAATAAAAATATTCAAATTATAGAAAATGTACTTTGCAATTTAAATTGTATTAAATTGTACAACATTAATTATTAAATGAGAATGAATCCTCTGATATTGAAGGTCCTCCCCCATCCAACAACCTTTGTTTTATAATTTAATATAATTTAAACGATAAAATAGATGGTTTTCTACTTATATGGTCGCCGTGGCTACGATTTTCATTGAGAAGTATGTGAGGGTACCTTGGCTCTTCAAGTCGAATTCTTGGGTCGAGATTTCCCTATCCCTTTAATGCATAAACTAACACTATCAATGTAATTTTTACTTTAAAAAAAAAAAAAGAGGTAAAATAAATGACTTTGGAATTATTAAATTTAATTACATAAAATTGCTAACAATTAATTTAAGAAGAAAAAATGTAAATAAAGATGCTAATTTTACATTTTTTTCATTTAAAAATGTTAACATTATTA